CTAGGGATGCACCGAAATGAAAATTCTTGGCCGAAACCGAACAAAATGAAACACTGGGCCGAAGGCCGAACACGGTTTTTCATGTTTTTTCCCCCATGTGTTTTGCCAATTGTTTTTCACTATTGCATAAATTAAATAGCCAAAATGTGCTTTTTACTGTTTTGTCTTGCTTTTCAAAGAAAAAAATCAATTACAAAACAACAATTTAAAAATATTTAACACTGAACATTTTTAACATTCTAGCAGACATTATACCAACAAGGCACAATTTAACTTTAAAATTAATAAGTTAGTCAGACCCCCTTCTTGAATCAGGCATATTTTTTACTATACAAATAAAAGCAGGCTTGCTGAGCAGACGCATCAGAAACATTAGACAATATTACAGATCCCAATTTGAACACTATGTGTGAATGTTATAATAAATGTATTAACAGAGCTGTTTTTAATAATTATCATTAGTATTATTGTCTTTTTATTTTACAGGACAACAGTAAAATTACAATACTAACATTTATGAATGTTCATGGAGTTCTTGCTTTTTCTCAACTTTTATTATGGCAGAAATGTGCAGGAAGACCTCAATGCTTCTTTTTGTTGATAACAGTAGATTTATAAATGAGTCTCATTACGAATACGTCGCAAGTGCCTTGTAAAAAATCATAATAATGTGACTGAGCAACTGACGAGTAACACTGTTTCAGCGCAGATTTTCCTTGCGCTTTGGACTTTGAACCCTGGTTAACAAGCAAATCTGCCTCGAGTTTGTGCAGCGCTGTCAGAATAGGCTACATGCAATTTGTGCGTTTATTAGAAAACATTGCGTTCTGCAGTTTATTTACTAATTGTTTAAGGCTATTTCACAATTTCAATCATCATACAATAACCAGCAACAATCACCCCTTCCTCTTCTCATCGAAGACATGCGGCGTTCTCTCACTGTCGGTGCTTGTAATGATTTTTGCGTCTTTCTCGGACAGTTTAAATGCTTTCACACTGCTGACGTGTGCTGCATTATAAAGAGTGCGCGCCTCTCACTCTACGCTGGTTGCTATTTGATTGCGTCAAACATTTTTGTTGCTATTTTCGGACAAATAATTTCGGTTGCCGAACATTCGGTGCATCCCTAGTCTTGGTGGAATAGATCTACTACGCTACAGCTACGTTGCTGCTGCTGCTGCTGCTACGGCAGAGCAAGTACCGAGACTTGCTACTGCCAATACATCCACAACATGCTGCTGTGAGCATGTAAGAAACATTGCTGCTGCAAATATAACATACAGGAAATAACCCCCCATATAGCATACATGAATCACCTCGTAGCAGATCTTAACAGGTGGAGCTGGGGATGGTGAAGGGTTTCTGAAGCAAGCTGCAACTGCTACGGCAAGCACTAGTCAAATATTTGAATGTTGAGCAGCAAGCTCATTGGCTACCGATACAGGAGAGAGCCATTCAGCTGTGCCATGTGATAATGATGTCATTAGGTCAGATTGAGTTTGACCTATCGGACTGCGCCATCTAGAGTTTCATGCCAGAACTCTGTATTTCTGTCTTGACAACTCTCGGAGGGATTGGCATAGTAATGTACATGACAAATTTAATGTATTTGGTCTTGGCAGAAAAGATCTGCTACGCTGCTGCTGTGGCAGAGCAAGTTCCGAGACTTGCTACTGCCAATACATCCACAACATGCTGCTGTGAGCATGTAAGAAATATTGCTGCTGCAAATATAACATACATGAAATAGCCCCCCACAAAGCAGGAGACATAGAAGGGACAATAAAAGCCAAAACAAGAACAAAACACCCCCCAACAAGCAGATCTATCGAAAAGACATTTGTACTGCTGCTGCTCCGAAGAGCCATGTGAACCGCATGTATTACTATCTATATGAGCCTTGGCTACCATGCCGACCGGCTTAACAATAGTGGCCTATGGCTATGTGAGCCTTGGCTACCACGCCGACCGGCTTAACAATAGTGGGCTATGACTATGTGAACCTGGGCTACCACACCGACCAACAAAATGGATATACGTTTCAATCCGATAGATAAGACCCCAGCATCCACCTGAGCAAATATCATAATTTAGTCATTTAATAACTTACTTTCTCCACTTCATCAGTCCCAGCGGCAGCGTAACAGCTTGTTAATTCATATTCGTGCAATGATGAGACGGACAAAGTTAGCCGATGCATGCCATTTTATTCTCTCGTGCAGATAAAAGTTGTCAAAGTTACAGTGCACAAAACCCCTGGGTGGACTGACCTGAATGAACTGAAATAAAATCGGAATATAAATGTTCTTTCTCCGTTTTCTGAATTACACAGCACAGCGAGAGCACATGTTGCACGAGCACATTTCTCCGAACTACCCATAATGCACTTCACTCGGAACTAACTGTTACAGCAGCCGTATAGAGTGATCTTCAGCGTCTCCCACAATACTGTCATTGATATGACTGCTATAAGCGTGTGCTTCTGACTAGAGGTCTTCTCGGGTCCTAAAATCTGTACCTGACCCGAATCACTTCTTACCCGAACCCGACATGCATAAATACATTTTTTTAAAAGAAAAACCTGACCCGAGACAGACCCAATGAAATTAGACCCAAGTCCGACACAACCCGACGGAATTTATTTTCGAACCCGACTGAACCCGAACGTAAACGGCATTGACATGTGTACAGCCTGCAGCCCCACAGTCAGTCAGGAAAAATCCCGGTGTCTAGTTGACTGATTTGGCCACTTCTCCATTACTTTGATTTATTTAAAGGGGTCATATGATGTTGCTAAAAAGAACATTATTTTGTGTATCTGGTGTAATGAAATGTTTATGCGGTTTAAGGTTAAAAAAACCCACATTATTTTCCACATACTGCACATTATTGTTTCTCCTTTTTTCCCTCGCCTTTCTGAAACGCGTCGATTTTTACAAAGCTCATCGTTCTGAAAAGCAGATTTCATGATTGGCCAAATACCTCAAGCGTGTGATGGAAATGTTACGCCCCTACCATACTGTGATGATGCCTTGTCAGGCCGGAGCGATGATTCAAAAACATGAAAACACATTATAAACGAGGCATTCGTTGCATCCAGTGGGGACATAATTATGGATTATAATGACTTATACTGTCTTTTTACGCGCTGCGTTGCATCGCGCCGCGTAAACATAAAACCATGTCTGCATTTGTAATCAGAGAAATGACAAACTACTCTACACTGCCCAAAAAACTCGCTTCAAATATTAAAAATATAAAATATAAAAACTCTTTAAATATAAAAAGCGTACTTACAGTCTACTCTACCAGGATCAGGAAACGGTCCTCCATAAAATGTGCTGCACACATCTGAATATTTGGGTTGAAGTGTTCTGGAACAGTGTTGTAAATACAACTTAACCACTGATTTCTAGTTGTGTCCATTTTTGGAAGGCCAAACAAAGTAGTTTCGCTTTCACAACGAAACACAGCGTCACACACGGTGGCCTAGAGTGAGCGGCGGCGGCCTAGAGTGAGCAGAGGCCGGGGGCTAGAGTGAGCAGAGTGAGCGGGCTTGAGAATGGCGCGTCCGGCGGATTCGACGAAGGAGCGTCCAGAAGGCTTGCGGCAACCACACGTGACGACCCCGGGCTGGACTCCGCTTCGTCCATGGTGAAAGCCGAT